AGCCCTGGACCTGGGCTCCACGCAGTGGCCTGGAGGCCCTAAACTTGGCTCCACACATAGTGGCCTGTGAGCCCTGGACCTGGCTCAGCGCACAGTGGCCTGAGGAGCCCCAGGAGCCCTGGACCTGGCTCTGTGCGCAGTGGCCTGAGGAGCCCTGGACCTGGCTCAGCACATAGTGGCCTGGGAGCCCTGGACCTGGCTCTGTGCACAGTGGCCTGGGAGCCCCAGACTTGGCTCTGCGCGGTGGCCTGGGAGCCCCGGACCTGGTTCTGTGCACAGTGGCCTGGGAGCCCCGGACCTGGCTCTGTGCGGTGGCCTGGGAGCCCCGGACCTGGCTCTGTGCACTGTGGCTGGGAGCCGGGACACACCGTGAAGTAGAACTGCTCGGTCTCCTGTTGGTTCGCTCTCCTCTTGGCGATGCTCGGCTTGCTCAGGTAGGTCTCGGAGACCGTGGACTTCACGGACTCTGTGGAGCGGCTATGCTGGAAGCACTCAGAAACGTCATAGTCCTCAATGGTGACCATGTCTTGTATCGTCTGCAAGGTGGCTTCGGTAGTCTTCTTCACCTGGGAACAGAAACATTTCACGGGTCAGCACCCAATTCCCTGAGTCCCACAGACCAGGGCAGTGCGGCCTGCCCCGGGGCAGAGTCTCTGGGGAGGAAGGGCAGTGTGCAGCACTCACATTCCCAGGTCAAGGGCCCGTTTCCTCAGTTACTCTAAGGAGGATATCGCTTTATATTTGAGTATTTATAACTCTCAGTATCACTGGGTGCTCTTACTGAGGTAAAGTCATGTACAGAAAAATACACAGGTCGTATGTGCCCAGCGTGCTGAAGAATCGCCAAGTGAACATGCTTGTGTGGCTCTCCCATCGCCGTACACCTCTCTTCCCCCTCAGCTGTACACACTACGCTGACTTCTAACACCAAGTATTTTTGTCCTTTTCTGTACTTTGCATGGATGAAATCCTACCGCACGTATAATTTTGTCTTGCTTCTTTGCTCAGCTATAGTGAGATCCATTCATTTTGTGTGAGTCTAGTATTTCACTACTGAATATTCTTGGTAAGAATACATCACAATCCATCCCTTTCACTATCGACGATGACTGATTTTTCGTTTGGGGCTATTTTGAATAAGGCTGCTATGCACACGGTTTGGTTGGGCCGTGCACAGGTGAGCGGAATTGTTCCTGTGCGTCCTCAGCGGCACTGGACGCTGTCAGTCTCCTGAACTTCAATCCGCCTGTGGAGGGCGCAGGGTCTCCCAGCGTGTTTGAGATGAACTGCATCCCCGTCCCTGAGAATGCCAGCTCAGATCTCTTGCTTGGCTTTCTACTGGGTTATCAGTCTATTTGGAAGTGAGTCTCTTTATGTGTTGCAAATACTTCTTCCCCCTGTGCTGTGGCTTTTCACTCTTTTAATAGTGTCCACATGAACAGTTTCTAATTTTTGTGAAATCAATTGATCCTATTTAAGAAATACTGTCCTATCTAATGGCCATGAAGACACTGTTTGATGTTATCTTCTAGGAGCTTTTTAATCACAGGTGATATTCCTCCTCTGCTTATCAAAGTCTAATACAAATTGACAGCTTTATCTTTCTCTCACATAATGTAAAGAGTTTAGAACACATTAATTCCATTTATACCTCCAGATTTGTGTGATTTTGTAATGCATCATCTAGAATGTATATGTAAATATTTATAGATTAAATACATGACATTTTAATGTTGTTTTATAGTCCATATTCATCTAACTTTACATGTTTATTATATCTTTATCTCTATTCCTATATTTCAGGAACACCTGTTAGAAATTCTTTCCAGTATGCATCTGTTTTTTGTTGACTTGAACATGTCTTTTATTTCACCTTTATTGATGAAGGCATCGTTCCTGGTTGACAGTATTATTTCACCTTCATTGATGAAGGCATCGTTCCTGGTTGACAGTATTATTTTACCTACATTGATGAAGGCATTGTTCCTGGCTGACCATATTATTTCACCTTCACTGATGAAGGGATTGTTCCTGGTTGACAGTATTTTCTTCCCGTATATTAAAGACATCCCTGCACTTGCTGCAGGCTCCGTTCTTGTTGAGGGAGAAGTTTTCAGGGTGTTGCTACTTTGAATGAGACCTGCTGTCTCTCTGTGCGTTTAAAGTTCACTATCCATCTTTGGGCTTGTGTGGTTTCATTGTACCGTGTCCAGGTAAGGATTTAAAAAATATATTCAGTCTGGAATTTTTCTGGACTTCTTGAATCTGTGTGATGATTTTCATAAGCTCTGGTAAGTTTTCAGCCTTTGTATGTTTTCAAATGTTGACGCTACACTCTGTAATTTTCCCTGCTGGGAGTTCAGTTAGTGCACTAGACCTCACCATGGACTTTAATCTCTATCCTTCTCTTCTGCTCCTCTGCCTTTTGTTCCTCCATGCTGCTTTTTCTTCTGATTTGTCTTCCACTGTGATGATTCACTTTTCAGCTATGTCTATCTGATGTGAAAACCACTCACTGATTTCTTAATTTTGGTTACTGTACTTCTCAGTTCTAGAATTCCCATGTGGTTCATTTAGCCTTGGCCATGACCTTGTCTGAGGCAATGAAAGGTGCAAGGAAGACTCATTGGAATGACCCAGTCCATGTTGGAAAGTTTTTTTTTTTTTTTTTTTAAGAAAAAAAGTATTTTTTGGGAAAGAAACAACAGCAATCAGTACCATTTTGGATGCTTTGAAACAGGGGTGTCCAACCTTTTTTTTCCTGTAGCACATCAGAAGAATAAGAGTTGTCTTGGGCCACACAATAAATACACAAGCACTGACGAGACCTGCTGAGCCAAAAAGAAGGTCTGGGCATGCTGTTTGTGTATCTGACACCACAGGTAAGCAAAACAAGTCCTCACAAAACTAGCATGTGGCTGTGGGCCTGTAGGTTGGATACCCCTGTTTAAAAGTCATGTGATAACATTTTTTAAAAAGGAGGCAAAGAAACGGGGTGGCGCCTGTGGCTCAAGAAGTAGGGCGCTGGCCCCATAAGCTGAGGGTGGTGAGTTCGAGCCTGGTCCTGGCCAAAAACTGCAAAGAAAAAAAGAGGCAAAGAAACTTAATAGACTTAATCATTATTCTTAGGGTAGACACAATGCAAAGGGCAGATACTGTTGGTAAAAAGAATATTAAATATCATGTAATTAGACAGGAATCCATCATCTTATCTCACTGCCGCCCAAGAAAGACATGGCTTCTGTTCATGTAAGCAGAGTTCTAGTTTGGAACTAAGCAAAATCTACATTCTGTGGTCAACGAACATCATGGATTCCTCCTTCTGTGTCAGACGTGCTGAGTACTGTGTCCCCCAACGTGGGTTTGGTATGACATCCACTCCCAGTGATGGAACAGGGGTATAAGAAGCTCCAGACTCCAGCACCCGAAATCCTAATCAATGATAACCTTCAGAAAAGTACAAACATGATCACGGATATGTTTTATCCTCCTGGAATAAAAATGGATGCATGGTAGTGATTGGCACACTTCATCAAATCACATGTGCAACCTCACAAGTGGAATGGACAGTAAATTTGCTGTCAGAGTTCTGACAACACAGTTGCTGGAGATTCTGCATTCTATCTGATTCTGCCATTCAACTTACCATACATAAAACATTGGAATTTTAGAAAACGTCGCTTTTTTATGAATGGTTATAAAACACGTAAAAGATTTAACTGTTTTTGAAATATCATTCTCATTTCTATTTTAACCACTATTTTAGATTTGTTTTTCTTTTTGACAAACAGACATTGTGTCACGGTAATCCCTTCTTGGGGGTCTGTCACCAATGTTCCTGTTCCTCAAGATATTCCCCACGATGGCAGCAACACGAAAGGAGAGACACGGAGCAGAGGGCTCTGTTTTCATTTCCTCTTTTCAGTCCTTTCGGGAAGCTAGTTTGTTTCCCTACAACGAGAATCCCGTTTCCTGCTGGTCTTCCCGGGGATCAGGCGCTGATTTCTCTGTCACCAACATCCTTGCTTGGGTTTCTTTTCCTGCCCTGGTTTTTCTCAGCAATGTCACAATGTTGGCATGGGCATGGGTTTAGAAAGTGTTCTTACCTTGAATCTCTGGGCTTTTACTGGGTACAGGGTAACTAACAACTACTGGTTTTGTTTCGTTTCTGTACGGAAGGGTCTTACACAGTGCTACTTAGAGAGGTGTTTTCCTAAGTGACCTGGGTGGACTAAAGGGTGACTGGCTTTAAGTAGAAGTGGAAAAATTGCTTTACTTGGATGTTGATATTAACCATTTTAGGAGAATTCCTTTCTTTAGACCTGAATTATGTCGTGTGATCACCTCACCTCAACCTAATAAAGTGGCCGGATTTATTATGTCAGTGACTTATTTATATTAATTACCCTTTTTTAATAGTCTCATGAGAAATATACCTATATTACAGGTTTTAATTAATTGAATTAGATGTTAAAATCAGTATGATCTACTTTTTACAGGACAAAGTTTGTCAAATTTAAAATCATGAATATTGGCTGGGTGCAGTTCATTCCTATAATCCTAGCGCTCTGGAAGGCCAAAGCCAGTAGATGCTTGAGCTCGGGACTGTGAGACCAGTCTGAGAAAGAGAAAGACCCTGTCTCTACCAAGAATAAAAAAATTAACTGGGTGTGGGGGCACCTGCCTGTAGTCCCAGTTACTCAGGAGGCTGAGGCAGGAGGATCACTTGGACCCAGGAGTTTGAGGCTGCTGTGAGCTAGGCTGAGGCCACCGCATTCTAGCCTGGGGCAATATAGTAAGACTCTGTTTCAAAAAAATCATGAATATTCAATTTTATACAAACATTTCTCTCTCTCTCTCTATATATATATATGGATTAATGTAAGTCGTTTGCTAAGGACTTAGCAATACAGATCTGCCTAGTTCAATGTTAGTGATCAATGAAATAAATGCACATTAAAAAAGAAGTTAAAAATACCGTGATTAATTAGTCTAAGGAGGCCCCTGGCAGAGTTAAAAGACTCAACACCATCCAGTGTTAGTCAAACAGGTTTTTGAGGCTTGTGAAAAAATTTCTAGTGACAGTATTATGACAAATTAGAATAGTGTTGTATGTCAAACAGATGTGAAGATGGTGCACTCTGGGCAAACTGTGCTGATGACTCACAGTGTGGCTCCTGTAATGACAAACACAGGACATGTAAAATTGTGAGAGTGAGGAAAAAAGCCACAATATTTCTAAACTTTACATAACATGTGATTTAAAATATTTATGGGTAACAAAACTAATTGAATATGGAAGGCAAGTATTCAATGACTTTATAGTTCTGTAAGTTTAATATTCAATTAAAAAAAATTAAAGGCTTTTAGTTGTTCCTACATGTTGTTAGGTAAACACTACTATTTCCTTATGCAGTTAAATTTTCGATACTCACAAATCTATAAGAAAATACAGGTGAAAAGTGTATTGTGTTGTTGTCTGAAGAAGTTGGGAAAGGCCCCGTGGAGAAGGTGAGCAGGTGCTCCCTGGGAAGGGGAGGGCCCCGTGGAGGTCAGCAGGTGCTCCCTGGGAAGGGGAGGGCTCCATGGAGGTGAGCAGGTGCTCCCTGGGAAGAGGAGGGCCCCGTGGAGGTGAGCAGGTGCTCCCTGGGAAGGGGAGGGCCCATGGAGGTGAGCAGGTGCTCCCTGGGAAGAGGAAGTCTCCATGGAGGTGAGCAGGTGCTCCCTGGGAAGAGGAGGGCCCATGGAGGTGAGCAGGTGCTCCCTGGGAAGAGGAGGGCCCATGGAGGTGAGCAGGTGCTCCCTGGGAAGGGGAGGGCCCATGGAGGTGAGCAGGTGCTCCCTGGGAAGGGGAGGGCCCATGGAGGT